CGTCAAAACAACTCGACTCCTCGGAATTCAGGAGGACGGAGGAGGGGAGTCAAGAGCAGAAGCGGGGGGAAGCCCAAGACGGACCACGGGACCACTCCAAAACCCAAGTGGGCATGCCGCTCAGAACAAAACGCGCCAACTCCGAGGGATGAAACACACACCCACACACACACTGGCATGTCACGTGCGACCCGGTATTGCGGATAGCCTCTGCGACGCCATCAGAAGCATCGCCGTCAACGCCAGCCCTCCTCCTGCCTCCTCCGGTTCCCGTGCCAGCTGCTCCCCATCGCCGCGCCGACACACGCGAAGACCAACCGTCACAAACAAACCGTACGTCACGGGGCACATCGAAGCGTAAGCCGCTACGGATGGCCTCCGCGACGCCATCAGCAGCATCGGCACTGTAAGGGGCCCCAGGACACACAAATAAATACACACAAATCAAAAGATTCCCTATCTGTTCCCATATTGTGGGGTTTTCGTTTCCCCCCCCCCATGTCCCATAGTTTCCCATATACATATATATATATATATATATATCCTGGGGAATCGACGATTCATTGTGTCTGTGTGTTTTGTCCCTCCTGACCGTCGTCATCCCCCATGCGCCTGGTGCTCCCCGGGGCGGTGCCGCTGGACGCGAAGACCAACCGTGGCGGGCCACATCCACAGGCAACCAGTTACGGCTGGCCCATGCGGGGCCCAAAGGTATACACCACCACCACCATCTCCCTCATCGCCCTCCTCTCCCAGGAAAGAGGAGAGGAAGATAAGGGTGGAGGAGGGAGGAGGAATCGACGTGGTGGTGGTGTATATTCTTGGGGCCCGCAGCCCATGCTTCCCCATCAAACAGCATCATCAGCGTCGTCATCTGGCGGGCCTTCTCAGAAGGCTCGGAAATCGCCCGGCCTTCTGAGAGAAGTGTTCTAAGCCACAAAAAAACGTCTCAGAAGGCCGGAGGGCTTCTGAGAAAAAAAAGTCCCGCCGCCTTCTGAGAAGGCCTTCTCCCTCTCATTCCTTCAGCGTTCAACGGGTTGCAACGCATGGGGCTATGAGGCAGGGGTGATACTGCAGGGGACGGTAGGTAGCAGGGCAGGGATGCGTGCTACAGGTATTCATTCTGTCTTCCTCATCTTCGTGCTCCACAGTGGACAGGTCTACGCCCATCGTGTCCGACCCTCGAAGCGCGGGGGGCCCCAAGTCGGCCCAGAAAGGCTCCCAAGATGGCTTCCGACGGCGTCAGACGGGCCAGGAACGCCCCGAGATGGCAAAGAGGCCTCCGAGAAGCCCCCAAAGGCCCCCAAGAGGCCCAAGGACGCCCCCAAGATGCCCCCAAGAGGCTCCCAGCGAGTGTCGCTTCGAAAGAGCATCGTAGCAACCCCCAGGGAGCCTTTCCCCCCCATCGCTCGCCGCCGATACGACCACCACCAGCAACGTCGTCGCACCTTCTCCTCCTGTGCCTGCCGCTCCCTGGGGCCGTGCCGCCGGACCCGGAGGCCAACCGTGGCGGGCTGCATCCAATCGCAACCCTCTGCGGCTGGCCCCTATACGAGCCCACCAACAACATCGCCTTCGTCGTCATTCCTCCTCCTCCTCCTCTTTCTCCTCCTGGAGGGAGTCTCTGGAGACTCGCGCCAGTTTATGGCCCAGGGACGCCGAGTTTCAAGACCAAAACCTAAGCCACGGGCGAAGTCTCGGGGGTAATTTTTTACTTTCTTTTGTAGGGCCTCGAAGGCCGTCTGATTGGTGAGTTTGAGTCGTGCCACCGCCCCCCTTGAGCGCGTACGCCCGCGCCGCAGGGCGGGTTGGGGCCCGAGCACTCGGCCGTGCCTGCAGAGGCTGGATGCCGTGTGAAGCTGCCTGCGAAGGCCACTCAGGGGCCAACTTTTTGCTGCCATGAGGTGACTCGTGGACACGGCCCCCCAGAGTCGATCTGATCTGATCTCCTCCTCCTCCTCCCCTCCTCCTCCTCCTCCTCCTCCTCCTCCTCCTCCTCCTCCTCTTGCTCCTTCCACCCTCCTCGTTCTAGTCACCATACCGCCCCTGCCTTCATTCGTCCTCGACCTTCTCGTGCGCGCCACGGTCCTTTTGCTCGTCCCCTTCCTTATTTCTCCTTGCCCTGCGGTACTCGCACCTGCGTATGGTTGGGCCCTTCGTCTGGACATCAGTTTTTGTCCGTCGCTCTTGGGACGTCTCGGGGCCCACTGAGGCACTCCCGAAACCATCCGAACCAGAAATGTCCCACAAGACACTAAGCAGTATGACGCTTCTGGGGGGGGGGGGCGGGGGAGGGCTGCCTTGGCTGTCTTAGCGCCTCTCGGGGGGGCAGTCTCGGCTGTCTTGGTGCCTCTCGTGTGCCATCCCAGGGGGCGTCTCAAGGGATGAATGTTGGATCACCTGACCTTCTTGGGCTGCTTGCAGCGTCTTGGAACACTGTTGGGACGTCCCGGTGCTGTCTCCAGGCCCAGATGGCCCTGGAGGAGCGCTGGATGGTGGACGCAGAATGATGGCGCGAGGTCCCGGTTTCGGGTTCGCCCTTTCCTTCCCCCAGTAAAGCGTTATGTCAACCCTTGGGAGGCCGTCAAAGCCGTACGCAGAAGCATCATTCTCTACCGATGAAGATGCCGATGCCGATGCCAAATTCCTCATTGCCATCCACTCCCTGCCCCCCCTTCCCTCTCCTCCTCATCCTTCTCTCCCACCTTTTCCTCTGCCTCTTCTTCCTCCTCCTCCTCCTCGGCCCCCATCCTCCTCCGTCAGAAGGAGAAGCAGGATAGGGGACAGCGAAGAGGAGGATTGGAGCAAGGAGGAGGATAGTGGGAAGGAGGAGGATAAGGAGGGAGGAGGAGGAGGAAGAGGAGGAGGATGGATGGATGGATGGATGGATGGATGGATGGATGGATGGATGGATGGACAGCGCCTGAAAAGGTCGGGAGGTGACAGCACCAAAAACACCGGGGGATGGACCCGATGTAAATCGGCCCTGAGGCTCGCGCGGCCTCTTCTTCAGCTGCAGCTCCGGCGACCAAGGCCGCCACTCGCTGCTCATGGTCGGGGGGAGGAGGTGGAGATGGAGAGAGGGGAGGAGGAGGAGGAGGAGGAGGAGGAGGAAGAGGAGGAGGAGGAGGTGGAGGAGGGAGGCGGAGGCGAAGGAGGAGGAGGAGGAGGAGGAACACCCATGTAACACTCAGACCGCACTTCGAACTAGCATCCGTTTGAAACTAAGTCGTGCCACAGGCAACGCCTCATCAAGCACTTACGGACCTTCAAGTTCAGGCCAAGGCCTCGCCGAAAACGGCTCAGGACATCCAGTCCTTTACGCGTTGGCTTCTGGCAGACCTCGGCGAGCTTCACGGTTCAAACACAGAATTCGATTTTCCCGCCAGACCGTTGGTTCCGTTGATTCCCCCGCGAGCTTCAATTTCATGGTTCAAACACACGCGTTGGTTCTCGGCAGACCTTGGCTCCAACCTCCGCATTTCAAACACAGAATCTGATGCTCGCGACACGGGTCCCAGCGGGCCCCAAACCGAGGAGCATCAAGAGCCAGACCCGACACGGCGACGAGGAGGTGCCCCATGGGTTCACGCAGCAACTTCTGGAGAGCAAGAGGCGGGCCACGACATCCAGTCATTGGCCTAGTGGGTCGATCGCACACAATCCAACACTGTCTGCATTGCATGCCTAATCCTGATCGACGCCATCGCTGCCAGTTTCGACTCTGCCGGCTGCGACTGGATGAGAAGAACGGGGCTCTCGGAGGAGGAAGAGGTGGAGGAGGAGGAGAACCAGTGTAAACCCAAGAGGAATCAAAGATGTTGGAATAAACCCTCCCTCCAAGCTCCCTCTTCCTAGCTCCCTACAACGGTTCATTTCCGCGTTCATTTCCACTGAAGGAACTGCCTCGTTGGAAGACAACCGTCTGAAGACCCTGGAGCATGCCAAAGCCTTGTTCTCGAGATTCCAACGCTGGGATCAAACTCGCTGTTGCGTCTTGGCGATCCTGACTCGTGCCAGAACGCCAATCCTGGGACATCACAACACAGCGAACCAACGCGTTGCAACGTAACTGTTGCACCCGTATAATCCGGAATCCCTCCAAAACACCAGTTCTGGTACGTTGATGATGGAGACCAATGAAACTCCTGCAACTTTCTACAACGAGTGTGCGCGGCGCCAAAGCGAGAGCCTCAATCAGTGAAACCCTTGCAATGTTGTGAAAATGTGCGCGGCGCCAAAGTGAAAACCACATGTTGAAAACCACCCGCTCTCAAGATGTGAAACTTTTGCACTTTAAAAACAAGTGTGCGCGGCGCCAAAGCGAGAGCCACATTCTGAAAACCACCCGCCCTGAATCCGTGAAGCTCTTGCAATCTTTGGCAACGAATGTGCACGGCGCCAAAGCGAGAGCCACATGTTGAAAAGGAACCGCCCTAAATCCGTGAAGCTCTTGCAATTGTTCTAACGAATGTGCGCGGCGCCAACGCGAGAGGCACATGTTGAAAACCACACGCCCTCAATCCGTGAAACGCTTGCAATTATTTTCAACGAGTGTGCACGGAGTTAAGGCGAGAACCACATTTTCAAAACCATCCGCCCTCAATCCGCGAAGCTCTTGCAATTGTTTTACCGAATGTGCGCCGCGCTAAGGCGAGTGCCACATTTTGAAACCGACCCGCCTTCCATCTGTGAAACCGGTGCCGCATTTAAGCTTTAGAATCATAAGTGGTGAGGAAATCTCCGGCGATACGCCAGGCCCGCCCTAAAGACTGGTCTCGGAGACGAGAGGGAGAAGTTATTTATAAAGGAAAGGAATGGAGGAGGAGGAGAAGGAGGAGGACGGAGGAGGAGGAGGAGGAGGAGGAGGAGGAGGAGGAGGAGGAGGAGGAGGAGGAGGAGGGGAGGAGGAGGAGGAGGAGGAGGGAGAGGAGGAGAACGAGTCCTCTTCCTCCTCTCGCTCCTGCCCCTCTTCTTCCGCCCCTTCCTCCTCCGCCGGCCTGGCCCCAAGTCTTCCTCCGGCACCTTCTTCGCGTCCAGGTGCACGGCGACCTCCCACATGATCTCCTGCCCTCCGCCGCCGTACCCCAAAAGGGACGAGGGCGCTCGCCTCGCTCGCCGTCGCTCGGACATGTGTTCCCCGTGCATCTGTGGATTTGGAGCGTCTCTGTTTTCCGCAGGATGCGCGAAAATGCTTCCTCGCCGGAGAACATGTTCACGCCCGAGCGATGCGTTAGGTCCAGCACGTCCCCCTGCATGCGGATTCTGCAAGGAAAATCAGAAATTGTCAAAACAGATTCAACA